CATATGTAGGAATTGGTAATCATGCCTAGCAAAGCTTAGTATTGATTATTAATGATGTGTTACAATCCATCCGTTAAAGAATTTAATATTTATATACTGTTACTATAGTTAAACGTATTAATTCTTCTACATTAATGTTTTCATTCACCTTAAATCTCTTGGTTGTTTTCTGATTTTCACCACTTTGGTAACGTTTTGGTGGCCGTCCACGTTTTCTAGTTAGGTAGTGGATTTGCACAATTAATTTCAGCAACTTGGTCATTTAACTCAACATTGCCAGCTTTCTTCGCAACAAGTATTTTGATTTCCTTTAATATTTCAGCTTGCTTCTCATCAATAAATACTTGAAACATACCATAGACTTCGTTAAAACGATCTGATTTTTTTGCTATATCTAAAGGTTTTTTGGCCAATCCTAAAACTTTTCCATATTTAGCTTTGATGAAATAATTTTTTGTAAAAACTTGTGCCTCACGAATCTGCTGAAGTTGATTAAAACTATAATAATCTGGTTTAGCTATTGTCATATTAAGATTGTTAGGTTCGACAATAGTGTTTTAAGCCGACTGTATAACGGAAGTTATCAGCCAAGTCGTCAACTTAGCCGACTAAGTCACTCAGGGGCTAATGCAGGGTATCCGGTATTTGCATATCGCATTTTGTGCATTTTGCATGTTACGAAAACACATTCAGTACGGTTAAATTTATTTATATTCAAGATTTTTTTAATTTTTTGTGACTATTAATGAATAAAAGCTGGTTTTATTTATTGTAAACAACATGATGATTTAAAATTTTTTATTTGAATAAAGTGTAACTAAATGATTATTTTCTTTTAAAACAACAAATCATGAACAGTGTTTGGGTTTAAGCGATTCCTTTTGTCAGTGATAATATTACCTGCATCGGAAAAGAGTCTTTCGAATGGGACAGATGTGGCAGGTATAGATAAGAATCTACAAGCTTGCCTGGATAATAAAGGAAAAGTATCTTTTCTTTCATACCACCATTGTAAGAGATCATGAAGATGATATTGAGGTTGATTTAGAGGTAAAACAGATAAGGTAGGAAGTTGTAAATATAGAGAGATTTTTGTATCAACTGGGGATGTAGGAGGTTGGGAAGATATATTGTGATTAAATAAATCTAAAATATGAAAGTAGAATTTGAAAAAAATAGGTGCTACAGACGGTGACAGTGGAGTTTCTAATACTTCAATTCGCCTTTTCAAATTTTGTTTAGTAGTTTCTATTTGATCTGTAGACAAAAAAGTTAAAGATTTAAATCAAGGATCCAAAAAACTAGCAATGCAATCTAATTCATCAGAAATGTCCTAACGTTTAGATAAAGATTTCAAAATTTCATTACATGTTATTTTGATTTGTGAACTTTTAATGTTGTGAATTATATTTTTGAGGTAATCTCTTAAATAGTACAAAGTTGAATACTATAATGAAAGAGTCAGATATGTGCTACCTGATGTAAAATTAGTTGCATCTACAAATGGTCAAAGTAATAAAATTAATTCTTCTAAAGCTATTCAGTCTTCAGAACTGAGTAATAATTTTTTTAAATTATCACCATTAATATGAGTAGATCTATTAGGATTTAAAATGAGCTTATCGGTTAATGCATATATTGTATTATGAAAATAAATAAGTCATTCTAATAAAAAAAAAGTATTATTCCAATATGTATCTGCATCAAATATGATGAGATCTAGAATTCTAATTTTATGGATCTTTGTTTCTAATATTAAAAAACAATTAATATTATTATTAATATCAACATTAAATTTAAAAAATACTATTTGTTTGATTTATCTGACGAAATATTGCTTTTAATAAGTTACAATATTTATCATGACTTGATATAAAATTAATCAATTTTTTGGCTGTATCAATTAGATTTATAATATTTTTTAACCTATCTTTAATTGCAAAGTTGCATAGTATGTACTATATAACGAATATGATTTATTCCTAATTGATACATAGTTTTTACTATTAAAAAATCATTATCTGTTGTTCCTCTAAATAACTTTAGCATAATATCCCATTTTTGAAATTTATTAAATAAGCAATATTTAATATTATCACCTATTCAAAGTTGTAATTGTAAGTAATACTTGGTTAATTTTAAAATCTGATGACATCTAATAAATTATAATTCTATTTTATAAACTCATCTAAATTTTTTTCTCCAATACTAACAGTTTCACTCATTTTTTTATATAGGCTATTTTTATATAAAATCAGATAAGATAGCTCTAATTTATAAATAAATTCTCAAAATTTTATATTATTTATTATATGAAAAGCTTGCATATCATCTATTAGCCAAGCTAATAAACAACATATAATTTTTTTTATTTTATTTTGTTTAAGAGAAATATTTTTTCATGTTCTGAAACTTCTATAGATTCAGTTTCTTTTCTATCAATAATTTTATATTTACTTTTTAAATAGCTAGTAATATTAATTGTACTTGTTTTTTCTTGATAAAACTATTCACATTAATGTTTAGTACTATTTTCTTTAATTAAAAATGGACAGTTTTTTTTTTTTGAATAAATGATTAAATATAATTTTTAGCTTCTCTTTTTGCTAGAATGATTTAAATATGTAAAATAATAAGTGATATTCTATTATTCTTTAAAGAATGTTCATGATTAATTATACTAATTATACTAATATAAAAGCTTGAAAAGTTTGATCATGTTATAAGAAATTTTATATAATTATAATTTAAGTAACCTTTGAAATTTATACAATACATATTTTGAAATTTATAAAAAATAAGAAATATTATAAACAATAACACATATTTAAGAATTACAAATAATAAAAAATTATCCAATTAAATTATAAAAGATAAAAATAGAATAATTATGACTAAGTCAGCTAAGCTGATCAGAAGATAGCTAAGTTAATTGAATTCTAGTCAGCTTAAAACACTATTTGACAATAATAATTATTTAGTTAAATTTGAATTCTGATTAAAATCTTCAAATTTCAGATTATTGTATCAAAATTGATTAATTAATGCAATATTAAATTCACAATTCAGACTTTTTCATATAACTTTGAAAAATGTTTACAAAAAATCCTATGATTTATTAAAAGATTATATATATAAAGTGACTTCCATTCATTAAAAGAATAACAATTTATGAATGTGTTAATAACAATTCTGGCTTAACCTGTTAAATTTCTATAATTAATTCTAATTGAATACATTTAATTAAACTTTTGAGTAGAATCTGCTTAGTTTTATAATTATCTTTCTGAATTCTATCTTTATAAATTAAATCATCAATTAAAATCTAAAAATATAAATAAAAACAATTAAACTCTAATCCAAAATCTTAATCATAATATAATTCTAATCTAATTTTAATTTACTCTTACTCTAATCTAATACTCTTATCCTAATTTACCTTTTTTAATATAATCCAATATTTTTGTTCTAATTTAATATCTTATTTTAATCTAATGTTCTTATTCTAATCTAATGTTTTATCTTAATTCAGTATTCTTATTCTAATTCAATACCTTTACCTTAAACTAATATCTTTATCTAATCTAACGCTTTTACTCTAATCTAATACTATTACCCTAATTTAACATTTTTATTCTATCAACATTTTACCTATAACTATTTATAATTTTATACATACCTGTTCTATATTTTTTTTTTTTTTTTACGTGCGGTAGCTTTGCATAAACTTTATTTATGAGTAAAGTAAGATTTTACAAAATTACAAATTACAGGATAGAGAGTACAAAAATTTCTATTTAA